CAGAGAACTTGGAGGATCTCTATCACCTTAGTATGTGAACAGAAATAGTCACATTCCCAGAGCTCCTATGTCAGCACCACACCATGCTGGACCTTGTCCCATGTTGGGCATATTTGGCTGGAAAACTCACTGCAGCCTTTGGCACTGGAGTGTTGCTGGATCTCCTGGGAGCACACAAGGAAGAGTGTGGCTGTGTGGAGGCATGAACCAGCTGAAAAGCTGAAAGCAGAGCTCAGCTAGATAATGAAGTTAGTAATGGTTAAAAGTATTTTCCCTAGAAAAAAAAATTTGCTCTGAATATGTAGGAAGTATATCTGCAAATAGAAATAAATGTATATAGTATATTAATACATACATACAGGCAATTGCTTCCTTTCCACATGCTCTATTCCCTATGTTTTAAAAGCTAAGCTTCCACAATACAAATTAAGGTGGATTTTTGATAAATTTTTCATCTTCTGCATTGACTTGCTGTAGCCAAACGCATGAAATTTTGCTATGTAAAAGGCACTCTTTCACTATACATTCATGTGGGCCCTCTTTTCCCTTTAACAGCCACCAGAGAGACACACATCATTCCTCATGCTGTGCTGGACACGGAGGATCTGCTCTTTTGCTTTTACATTTGGCAGAGCTGTTGCTCCCGTGATTCCGGCATCCCTGCTGGCACGTGCCAGGGGATGCTCATGTCTGCTGGACTCAGGACGTGCCACTGAAGCTCTTAGAAGCTGCTGACTCAGAGGTGCTGGTGTTCAGCATCCTGGCGCTGCATGGAGCCATCTGGAGACTACTCAAAGTCCAGGTTTTCCCCAGCTTTAGCCTGGTTTTGAGGGTGCCTTGCAGGCTCCTGGGGGGAATGACACCGCCCTGCTGACATTTTGCAGGTGATCTGGAGCTGAGACAACTTCTCCCACCCTAGGGTGTGCAGGCAATAACCCCTAATTATAAAATAAGTTTGGTTAACGGCACATTAATGAGCACAGGGAAAAGGTGATGCTCTCGGGGTGAGCTTTCCCACTGTTTGGAGGAGGAGGAAGGCTGTACACAGCTGCTGCACTTCGTGGGGGAGCAGAAAAAAAAAAGGCATTGCATCAAAGTGACACTTGGGTGTAAAGCACCTCAGGTGGAAAGATTGTCTTTCTGGCTCTGGGTGTGTTTCTTCTGCACAATGCACTGGGTTTCACGCTGAAAGCGTTGCCTCTAAGCTATTTGCTCTCTGAGCTGCTCTTTTACTCCCATTTTGGCTCCCTTTTTTAACCATGCCTCCTAGACTGTATCACTTCTATCATCCTCTCTTTATCCCTCACCCTTCCAACCCCTCAACTCCACGTGCCCCAACTTTCTGCCCTACCAAGCTCCCTGCTCATCTCTTTGATCCTCAGCATCTTCCCCGACCTTTGCCCACCTTCTCCTCTTCTCCATCTCCCATGAATACCTCTTGTATTTTCAAAGAGTGTCAGCCCAGGGTAGGGGAACGGGAAAGACGGCACCAGTGGAAGAGGTTGTGCTCCCCTGTCTAATAACATATGTATCAGACACCTTTCCCTTGAGATGGCAGCCTCTCGGAGCCCAAGACGAACCTTTCAACAAGATTAAAGAGATGGTATTAATTGCTATCGATCATGGGTCAACAAATTAAATTGCATCTGCAGCTGCATCTCTGAAAGGTCTAAATGAGAAGAGTAGTTAATGGGTCTGGCTGGCCCAGAGCTGTGATTAATTAAAGGGAGAATGAACTAAAACGTTAAAAAAAAAAAAAAAAGGCAGAAAGGAAGGTGATTGAGATGAGGCTGGAACTCTTTAGTTCAGGAAAAAAGTTGTAACCGGAGAGCTCTTGATGGAGTTTCAATTCTGGATCCACCCTGACAGGCTGCCACAAAGCAGAGCCGGTGGCAGGGACTTTTAGGGCTGTTGCTCCAAGTGCCCCAGGTACTCAGGGTGCTCTGCCTGCCCATGACCGGCGGCTTTCCTACATAACTCCCCCCCCAAAAGCTGATCTGTGCCCATCACTTCTCCCTGCCATCCCAGACCTTGCCCCGGCGCCACTTTGCTGCTCGGGGAGAGCTACAGGATCCCTCAGTGGGACCGTGTGCCTGACTGGATTTGGAGGGGATCGGATCCCTTCCGCAGTGTGAGCCAGCATCTCCTGGAGACCTCACAGAAACATCTGTGACGGGATCTGGAGGGCTTCCCCCTCACTTCACCCCAACACAGGCACCAGCTCACTGTGCGAGGTCCTTGGTGCATCCTCCTGCCATGAGCATTTTTATTTTATTTTTCCGACTTGATGTCCTTAAAGGGTGAAGGGGGGAAGAAAAAAAAGAGCACCCCCATGTTGCTCAGCAATCCCACTCCGTAGATCCCCCTGCTCACCCCACTCCAGCCCTGTGCGGCAGTCAGCCCCGCAGCATCCTGGTGGGAGCCGTGAGTAAAGTGCTCCTGGGTGGGAATAAGGGCACAACTGTGACTCCTTGGGAAATAATGAAGTAGCACAGCATGGAATGGAGATGGTGCTTAACTAATAATGAAGAAAATAATAATATGTGGCACGTATAGTCCTGTGCTTGTTCCAAGCACTGTACAAACATTAACTACAGTAATTAAGCTGTAATTAATTAGAGTAACTACTAATCAGTGTAAATAATGATGCATCTGGAGGTACCAAATGGGGTTTGTGAACTGAAAGCAAATTTCCATGTTCAGAAAATGGCATCAAATATAAAATGGCACCAGTAAAAGGCAAAACCAGATGGAGGTTAAACCAAGAGCCTGGGAGTTGTGTTGGTCCGTGACCACCCCTCAAAAGGGAATCCTGGTTTGGCAGGTATCTTGCGACAAAACAAATTTTACTGATTTACTGCTGAGGAACAACCTGGGTGACCCATCCCATCTGTCGGACCTTCACAGCGCTTTCCAGGCTCCGAGCCTGATTGTCCCGGCCCAGCTGCGTCGCTGCACTCACCAGCGCTGCGGAGGCAGGGCTAGAGCAAGGGGTGGGATGGGGAACTGGGAGCTTGATGGGATGATCATCAGCAGAGTAAAATAAACCACAAATATATAATTTAGGTGTTTTTTTTTTTGCTGGTTCACATATTTTATATTTAACAAAATAATTTTTTAATAATATAGTCTTTTACACATCAAATATGGTTTCTAGACCCCCCATTTTTTACAGTTTTTTTTTTCTCACTAGTTTCAGGCACACTATTGTTTGAAAATTTTGAAACCGGATAGTGGTTGACAGGCAACAGCTTACAAAGAAATGTGGTGATGACTTCCTTAATGGCACCAGTTCAACTTGCAGGAAGGCAACGCTCAGCTGATGTACAGCACTAGAGCTTGTCCTTCCCCCTGCCCTCCAGCAAAACACAAAAACCAGGAAGAAATAAACGTATAAAGGCAACGGTGTGCATAAACCAAGACCGACCGTGCTGATCCACTTTGGTGGTGGATGCTATAAGGAGGATTGGCTGCTGCTGCGGTTAAGAGCAGACACTGGACTGAAGTCTGAAGAAAATCAGCGCCATCACCCTAACGGCCATGACCACAAAGCAGCAAACCAAGCGTGAGAACAGCTCCTGTGCTCGCCTGGCAGGGCAGAGTGGGGAAATGACATCAGTGACTTTTCAATCACAGTATCGCTTGGAAGCTGCAGCCTGAGAAAGCGAGATGCCGGTGCCAAAAAGCCCGACAGTGACCCTTGGCTGCTGGCAGCAACTGCGGGGACTTCTCCCTTCTAGAGACCCTTCATCAAGAGCACATTCCTATTGATGCAGCCAGCCTGTTCCCCAGCCCGTGGGCCTCCCAGCTTGCCTTACCCAGAGTGGTACGGATGCTCCCGGGGCTGGGGGAGCTCCCTCACGCTGCAGCAAAGCATCTTACGTGACAGCTGAGACGGTTTAGTGCTGGCGCAGCAATGGGATGTTTCTGGGAACCTCCCCAGCGATGATGGGCAGAGCAGAGGGATCAGATGATATCTTAATTTTGATGTGCTGTCACTGAAGTCAGGGAAGTGATGCCCTTGGCTCCAGTGGGAGCAGCCTCGGCGCTGACAGAACAAGGCAAGGCAGTCGAAGAGCCACGGGAGCCACAGCACAAAGTGGGACCCTCCTCCTTCTGCTCCGCCACCCATGCCCCAGACAGGCATCGCACCAAGACAACCCTGGCAAGATGCGGGTTTCTTGGTGCCTTTCCAACACCTTCTGGCTCAGCAGCCCTGCCTGCCCGTGCAGCCAGGGCTGGCTCGTACTCCCATCAAGGTCACAGCGACTGCGTAGGTGTCTTCGACTTTATTGTCCCCACTCAGTGGAGAAAGTGTAACACAGATACAGCTTGTGTCTTGGGTGTCCGGGCATATACCTGTGCATCCACCTCAGTCCTTCTGCAGGTTACATTCTGGTTGGGTGGGATTTTTTAACCCCTTCCTCCCCTTTGATTTCTACCTCCCTCCTGTCATTAGCCACCCTCCCCTTATAGATATGATAAAAATGATCCGCCACTCCACTCATAGCTGTATTGCCCCGACGATCCCAGCTTAGGAAGAGGCTTAAAAAAAAAAAAAGACAATAGCAAAAACCCCGAAATAAATTAAAGTGGAAAAACCCTACGATCCGTATTGTAGAAAGTGAGAGCGGTGAACTGATCGGCATCTCGGAGACGTCACCAGTCCAAGAACTCAAGTGGGTCGTTTTTCTTTTTTTCCTCCGCAAATCTGACCACCGCATCCCTATCAAGCACTGATAATTACAAAAGCAGAGTAGATACCTAGATACCGGATACATAGTGTGTAAAGCGAGAGAAGAGCAGGAGTGGGGTGGAGAGGGAGACCCTTCCCCAGGAGTAAAAATCTCTGCTTGCGTAAAACCCTCGCAGGTTTTGCTGGTGACCCTGTTGCAGCTGACAGGAGGTCGGATACATGTGCAGCATCGAAGCCATTCTTCCATCGTCATCATCGTCGTCATGAGCAGGTCGTTTGGCCAGCGTGGGAGGGGGTTTTGTCGCTACAGAGCCTGCTTGCCCTGGCACTCGCGCTTGGAGCACTGCGCCGGCTTCCACCAGTCCCCGTTGTGGCAGTGGCAGATGTTGCAGTCGTCCACCTTCACTTCGATGCCCGCGGGGATTATCGTGGTTCCTGCAAAGCAGTTCGGACCTGCGAAAACACACGTGAGTAACAGAAATAAATACTTTTGTTTGTTTGTTTGTTTCTTGGTTTTTAAACTGGGCATGGCAGCTCTGCTATAAGCGGAGGACAGCATCATGACACAGCCCAGCCTTCACTGCTCTAGCCCGGTGACCCTGTGCTGAGCTGCAGGAACCAGAGCCAATTCATTCCCCGGGACCAGACGGGCCATGCCCAAACTCCCCTTAACCCCAGGGGCCCCCCACCAGTTTTTAACCACGAATAATTTATAGCATCAAACTAACAAAAATAATTCACCTCCCAAATAAGCTTTTTGATAAAATCTATTTTTTCTCATGGACGATTCCTTTAATCTGCTAATTATTGATAATTTCTTTGGCTTCTTTATTACACGATATCAAAGCAGAGCAACAAGTGAGCAAGCATCTTATTTTCCTCCTTCTCATAAAAACTCCATAAATACCCATTGCCCAGCTGCCCCTCTGCAAATCCTCTCCTCTTCCCCTCTCGATCCTGTATCAGTCAGTGCCAGGAATTAACATCAGAGCCAGCAGCACACGGGGAAAAAAGAAAATCTGAGGCGGTCGCATTCGTGGCATCAGGGAAGTGTGAAGAGATTTGAAAAGCGTTTTGTGGCTCGAGCACTGCTCCGAAATGTCCCCCCTTGGCTGGCCACTGGTTTTAATCTCTGCCTTCGGTGCACGAGGTGCATTCACAAGATGAGAGTGTGTACAGACATGAAATTTCAGGCATGTTGCTAGCCCTTAAAATAAGGCTCAAGCAAAACAGGGTCCCTATGTGGCTGGAAACAGGGTGAGCTCTAGCCAACCCAGGGCCAGGGTCTCACATTTTATAGTCTCAGAGAACTATCCATTTAACCTCACTGATTTATTAGTGCCCTGACTTTATCAAGATACTCCACAGGATCCTACATTTAAGCTCAACAGGCCATGAGTTAACCAGACGAGGAAATCTGGGTTGCCGCCAAGCCAAATGGTGCCTCAGTGTTACTTGAGAGACTTTAATACAGCCCTCTTCAAACACACATCAGCTCTGCAGCAACCTGAACATCCACCTTAGTGCCTGTGATTAATTGTACCAGAATTTGGGGTGAATGAGTGTACCCCTGGGCTGCTGCTTCATTCCACGGGCAGGACCTGGAGCATGTTCAGAGGAGGCCACAAGGATGATCCAGGGGCTGGAGCACCTCTGCTTTGAGGACAGGCTGTGGGCGCTGGGATTTTTCAGTCTGGAAAAGAGAAGACTTTGGGGGGACCTAATAGCTGCCTTCCAATACCTGAAGGGAACCTGCAGGAAGGCTGGGGAGGGACTTTTTACAAGAGTGTCCACTGATAGGACAAGGGGAAATGGGTTTAAGTTGAAGGAGAATAGATTTAGGTTAGTTTTTAAGAAGAAACTCTTCAGTACGAGGGCGGCAAGACTTTGGAATAAATTGCCCAGAGATGTTGTGGCTGCCCCCTCCCTGGAGGTGTCCAAGGCCAAGTTGGACAGAGCCTTGAGTAGCCTGATCTAGTTGAGAGGCGTCCCTGCCCATGACAGGGAGGTTGGGCTAGGTGATCTCTAAGGTCCCTTCCAGCCTAGGCCAGTCTATGATTCTGTGACCTGGGAAGGCAGGCTGTGGCACTGTGGAGGTCTGTGCCTCTCCATGAAAGGGGGATGATGCTTCCTCCTTTGCCTGGCTGGCACATGAATTCATCAGGATCTCAGGACCAAGCTGGGTTTTGCTCCAACCCCACTCGTCAAGTTAGAGTTCAGGCTATTGAGGAGCAGTGCCCTGGGCACGGAGGTGTTTTACGTCTGCTTTGAGCTGGACAACCTCCAAAGATCCCCTCCAACCTCAGCCATTCCACAGTTCAACAGAACTTCAAAGACAGGATTTCCCAGCCAATGACACACAGTGATATATACACTACATGACTTCTTTTCTTTATACAGTTGAAAGAGTCGTGACCTGTTCTGGTCATGAGCTGAAGATTTCTGAAGATTTCCCTCTGGAAGTGACAATCCCGGTGGGAAAGGCTGTGATCCCAACTGCAATATTCCTCTGGCAACCCACTGAAGTTGTTACTTCATCCTATGGCTTTTGGGTCGTGGTGCTGGCTGTGCTGCTGCCCGTGCTCTTCATCACTGGTTTTAATTCTATGCTTTGTCAAGCCTGGTGGGTGATGCTGGGTTACAACACCCAGCGCCATCAGGTCAGCTCATGTGCTGCTATTAAAACATCCAGGGTTCAAATGCAATGAAAATGCTGGTAATTGTAACTACGTGTATTTAAAGTTGAAGTGACTGTCCCTCTCTCATAGGATGCTCTGATTGCCTGCTGATGCTGGGGACGCCCAAGATGGGCAGCCTTCACACAACAGCCTGCTCCATGCTCCTGGAGAAAAAAAAACTCTTTTCATTAAATTTAAACAAAAAGCTTCTGCTGGAGACTAAGGTGGCAAGAAAAGGGGAATCTTGTTTTCTCTCTTGTTGCCCTGCAGCTGCTTGTTAATCATCTCATTTGAGAAGCCAATACGGCTTCAACACCCACACACATCTCGAGGAGCAGCCTTCTCTGGGTGCTGAACAACAGCAGGTTTACAGCACCATGGGTTGGTCTGTTTGACGTGGCTGAAAATGCAGGGAGGCCGACAGCAAGGGGAGCGGGCATTCTCTCACAATGGGCCAACCTTCACCACCCCGCTCAGGTTTGGGGATTCCATGCCCCCTTGCAGAGTTTTGGCTGCATCCCCAGCACTGAAATGTCACAGGGCCAGAGCATGGCTCAGCGTCACAGCCAGCTGAGGGTGAGCAAGCTGGCACTGGCTGATGGGGAGAAGCTTATTTTTCCTTGCTTATCTGTCCATCTCACGGCTGTTGTATCACAGCTGCAGCTGCCCTTTCTTCTCCTCCACCAGGCAGCCCCAGGTTCCTTCTCTCTCTTGAGGGGGGGCCATTATCATTGCACACCTCTCGTTAATGTCTCTATCCCCAAGCTGAGACGCAGAAAGCAGACACCACGACGAAGAGAGGAGATGGATGAGGGAGATGTACTACAAGCATCACCCATGCCTTTGAGGTCCCTGGTGATCATTCATTTTGGGGACAGCAGCACAGCAGCAACGTCCTCTGCCCCAGCCAAGGACACGGCGTTGCTCTGCAAAATAGTAATTAAACACTAATAATCAGCCCCTTTGATCTCTGACATCTATCGATCCAGGAAGGACCTGGCAAGCGTCTCTGTGACTAACGGAAAATCCTTGGGA